CCCCCACACACACACACACACGCACACGCACACTCACCTCCATCGCAGCTTCCTCCACGCCCGCTTTGAGCTCGACACGACGGCTGGCGTCTTTTCCGTTCACAGAGTTGTCGATGACGATGAGATTGTTGCCGATGACGACGACAGCGGCATCGGCGAGCTCGAGTTCCCCTGCGAGCCGGCCTTTGCCCCGACCCGATTCGATCCGGTCGATGGCGAGCCGCCAGCCGTGTGCTGGTCGGTCCCGACCGGTGCTCCGTCCTCTCCTTACTTTCATCCGCCGTTCTACTTTGTCCCGGCTGTCTCTACCGATGTCGATCGGCTGGTCGCCGGCGTGTCGTCGGCGTGCGCTGCGGCGCCGTCCCCACAGCCCGCCTCGCCAGTTCCGCCGCTGACTCCTGCCTCCCCGTCCACCGCCGCCGCCACCGCCACTGCCACCCCCACCCCCACAATCGACGCGCCCGGAGAGCTCGTCAGCACCTTCTCCGGTCTCACGCTCTACGTGATGGAGCACGGCTCGGCCGGCGGCGGCGACGACGACGACGCCTACTTTTCGGTCCGATTCCCCGCCGCCTCGGTCGGCATTTACGCCACCGGCAAGTTCGAGGCTTCACTTGGCGTCGCCGACGGCGACTCGGTCGATGCTGGCCTCGCGTATGTCTTTCCGATCTGCCCAGCCATGCATTTTGGCTACGACGCCGAGGCAGACGCTGTCATGTTTGCCTCGCACTTTGACGGCCGCACTTACACCTGGTCGCTTCGAGTCACCGAGGGCTGCAGCGGAAGCACAGACGCGCTCCGCGCAGCGCTCACACGTCATCTGTGGGAAGCACAGTCGCTCCGCAAGTGGAGCTCGCTCAAGGATGCAGACAAGGCCTGGATTCTGCGGATGATGACTGGTGAAGGCGAGGGAGCGCCAAGCGCTGCCTCCCGCACCGAGTCTGCGCTCTTTGATCTCGACGACGACGACCTCGCAGACATGGATCTCGCCGCCGACGACGAGTGGGATGCCGATGGCGTCGGCTACGGCATTCGCTCATCGGCTGCTGCCCGCCGGGCCACGGGCGTTTTTGACGTCGAGTCGGACGCCGGCGGCTTCTACGCCTCGCCTCGCAAGACTGCCGCTGCGCCCGGCGACGACGCCGAAGGCGATGTCAATGCTCTCCTTGAGCTGGGCATGGCGTCCTCGCGGGCTTTTGTGGGTCGCGGGAGCTCGGTTGGCGTCTTTGGCCTCACCGCCGACGACGACCTCGAGTTTTCGGCCGCCATCGACGGCCTGGCCTACCTCGACGGCACGCCGCTCGTCGCTGCCCAAATGATGCTCCACGACCGCGACGACTCGATGCTCATGGTCTCGCCAGTCCGTCCGGACCGTGTCGCGCGAGTCGATCTCCACCGCGGCGCCGTCGTCGACGAGTTCACCTCGTCGCCCGATCCCGAGCTCGCCACCCGGGTCCGTCGCCTCGCGCCGAACACCAAGTTTGACTCAGACGCCACCTTTGTTGGCCTTAACAAGCTTGGCCTCTTCCGCATGGATCCGCGACTGCCGTCAGGCTCGCAGCTGGTGCCGGACCACGGCTACACATTCAAGCCGACGTCCAAGCCGCTGCTCTCGTGCATCGCTGCCACCGCCGACGGTGGCTATGCCGTTGGCTCGGACCGCGGCGAGGTCCGCCTCTTTGCTCCGGGTGCTGGCATCGGCAAGCGGCCGAAGACCACGTTCCCTTCGGTCGGCGCGCCCATCACCGCCCTCGACGTCACCGCCGACGGCGCCTTTGTCCTCGCCACCACCGCCACCTTCCTTGCTCTCCTGCCGACCCTCCACCCCGAAGTCCGTGGCGCCACCGGATTTACCAAGCCACTTGGCAAGTCCAAGCCTGCTCCCATCCAGCTCTACCTCCTTCCGCAGCATGTTGCGCTCTTTGGCGGATCCATCAGCTTTACCCCCGCTCGCTTCGACGTCTCTACCGCATCGGGCTCCCACGAGCGTGTCATCGTCGCCTCCACCGGCCCGTGGGTCATCACTTGGTCGCTTGCCCGCGTTGCCCGCCGCGACGTCGAGTCTTACACCTTTATGCGCGCCGATGACGTCGTCACCGCCTCGTCCTGGCTCCCGTCGTCCACTTCGTCATTCATTGTCACCGAGCGCAACGACGTCAAAGTTGCCCACAAGCAGTAACAACTCACTCCCCCCCCCCCCCCCCCCCTCCCCCTCTCTCACACACCCTCTACCTACCTCCAGCCGCCATGGATGGCGACCATGCCCTCCGGTTCGACGACGTCGTCGTCCTCCACCTCCACAACTCAGACACCTCGTCGGCTGGCCTCGGCCTCAACACCTCGACAGCTTCCGCCGAGCCCGAGACCGCCGGCGTCCTCTCGGCGTCGGTCGTCGACGCCGACGCGCCGTATCTGGACCCACGCGCTGACCCAGACTCGTTCGAGTACGCTCATCTCTTCCGGATCCGCGCCTCGCTCCGCTTCGGTGCTCTTCACGCCTGGCTCGCCGCCCGCGATCGCGGCGGCTCGGACCGCGCTGGAGTCAACATGGCCCTCCTCTATGAGAACATGCGCTATGAGGCCCAGTTCAACGCCGGCGAGATGGACCGGACGGCAGGCCGCCCGCTCCGCTACGGAACCCCTATCCAGCTACAGCACGTCCTCTCCGGCAAGTTCATCGGCCGCCAGGGCGCCTCGTACGAGCTGGTCCTCGTCGACGAGGCCCACGCCGCGTCCGTCTTTACCCTCGCCTCCAAGTACCGTATTCGCCAGGACGACGACTTGGTTTTCGTTGGCGATCCCATCGGCCTGTACAATAACCTTGGTCAATGGCTCAATGCCGACACAGACTCGGCCCTCAACCTCCACGGCATGGTCTCGCTCCGCGTCGGCGGCGGCTTTGCCTTTTGGCATCCGCGCCTCTTCTCCACCACTCCGCCGTCCACTTCTCATGACGATTCCCGTTTGGCTTCTGCTCCGCTGTCGTCGACTTCCACCCGCAGCGATCGGCAGACCCCATTCTCGCTCCGCGCCATCGACGAAGCCGGCGCCGAGGCGCACGGCCACGCCTCGTCCGGCGATCCTCACCTCACCCTCGGCAACGTTGTCCAGCTCTACAACATCGAGCACGAGGGCTTTCTCGCGGTCGAGGCCTTTCTCGACTCGGGCTCGGAGCTTGTCTGCGTCCACGCTCACCCGTCGCCGTCGTCAAAGGCCTCGGCCGACGTCACCCTCAATGCCAACACGCTGTGGCTGCTCGAGCTGGTCGAACCATTCTCGCGGCCCGTACTTCTTGCCTCCAATGGTCGCATCTGTTACCGGCTCCGCCATCTCCGCTCTGGCTCGTATCTGGCCATTGCCGACGACGAGCCCATCGACCTTGAAAACGACGGCGCCACCCTCCACTGGCTCTTCCGCGACGAGCGCGCCTTCCCCGACCTTGTCACCGCCGTCACCGATCCGACGGATGCCGGCGACGCCGCCATTTTCTTTATCGACCGCATTGCCGACGCCGCCGCCCCGCTGCGCCTCGACGACGCCGACCTCCTTGACTTTGGCAACCGCGTCCTCCTCCGCCACGCCTCCTCCGGCTCGGTCCTGGCTACCATGACCCGTGCCGTCCACCAGATGCGTGAGAACGACGTCATGTTTCCGAACACCGCTGCGGCATCGACCGCCGCGGCCGCGGCCGCTGGAGCCGCTGCCTCGGCCCGTGCTCGCGCCGCCGTCATGGCCGCCGTCCGTGGCGCCGCAACCCTCGGTATCTCTGACCCAACCTCGGCCCGTGTCTCTGCCGCTGTAGCCTCGCGCATCCTCCGCTATCCGCTCCAGCCTTCCCCGTTCAAGCGCTCCTCGCGCGCCCTGGTCAACTCCTTCCAGCTCCGCGCCGTGCCCGAGCTCCTCTTTCGCCTTGCCGCCCTCCTCTCCGCCGTCCGCGCCGCGCAGGCCGACTACCTTGCGCTCTGGCGCAACCAGGACTTTTTGCCTACCCCGCGCCAGCTGCGGCCACTCTGGATTGCGCTCCGCTCGCTCGTCTCCATTCTTCGTGAGCCACAACGCCTCGTCCACCAGGGCTCCCGCATCGGTCCCATCTCGTCCGCCACCACCGACTCGGCCCTCCGCGAAGCCGGCTTTTCCTCCCTTGCCCACCTCCGCCAGCAAATCCAGCGCTTTGTGGGCGAGTTTGGCATCATCCGCCTCGCCCTGGACATGCTCTCGGCACCCTTTACTGAGCTCGCACCCACAACCTCAGTCATTACCGTCTCGCTCGACGATCTCGCCTTGCCGGCCTCGCTGTACGTTTTGAGACTTCGCGTCTCGCCAATTCGCTCCTCATCCACGCAGTCAAGGACAACATCTACAACGCCGCGTTGGTCTTTCCCATGTTTGACGCTCTCATCGCCCTCCTCGGCTACGACCTCAACACTGCAGCCACACTCGCCCACGTCTTTGACCGCAACGAGCTCCTTCTCCACGCCATATCTCCCGACCACGTCACCCGCTTTGTCGCTCTCCTGGACAAGCGATCCGCGTCTCCAGACTCGCGCTTTGTCCTCCGCCGCTACCTCCGCCTCCTTTCGTCTATCACCGTTTTTAACGGCCGCGGCGTGCTTGCTAATCAAGAGCTTGTCACCAACTCGCTCGTTGTCAATGCACCGCACCTCCTCATCCGCTTTACTCAGCCCGGAGGTGGCCGCCCGGCCCTCGCTTGGCTCGGCGACACCTCGATTTCGCTTACAGAGCTCGATACCCGCGCAGACTTTGCCCCCCAGCGCGAGTACCTCGTTGCCCAGCTCGAGCTGTTGGCTAATCTCGTTCACTCGCGTTCACACTTTATCTCCACCGTGGTTCAGACGGTTGTCCCGTTCCCGCTCGTCTTTTCAGTTGTCTCCTCGCCTGACTATTCTTACCCGCTCCGTGCAGCCTTTCTCCGCGTTCTCCACCACGCTTACGTCGACGTCGATCCTTTTCATGCCATCCCGCTCCTCCAGCCAATCCATATTTGGTCTTCGCTTGCTCTGGACGCGACCGATGACTCGGGCACTGGCTCGAGCGCCGCATCCGAATCCTTGTCCGAGGCTGGAGGCGAGTCGGCGGCCCCGCCCGCCACCCGCTTCTCAGCCACCGGCGCATGGGCCTCGTACGCTCGCCAGGGACGCGACCGCATCGAGCGAAACCCGCAGCTCAAGGCCGTCGAGACCATGGTTCTCCGCCAGCTCGGTGCCATCGGCGCCGCCTACGGCGCTGAAAACCACCCTTTCAACACCTCGGGCTATAAGACCTCTGCAGCTGGCATTGATGCCTACTCGCCATCAAGCGTCGACGAAGCCGGCTTTACCACCTTTGTCCTCGCCATGCTTATGCTCCTGCATCTCATGCTCAAGTTTGGCCTGTTCCGTGACCACACCCACCGGCTTCACCTAGTTCAAGCACTGCTACCGCTGCTGGAGCGTGCGACGGCCCAGAGCTCTGACGAGACACACTCGTCGGCCGACGCGGCCGACTCGCCCTCGGCCGAGTTCTCCGACGTCGACTCGTATGCCTCGTCGGCCACGACCTCGTCGCCCTCCCACCGATCGGCCTACGATGTGGTTGGCTCATGCGATCCCGTCGCTGTCCCCGACGCCGACGACCACGAAGTCGGTGTCTCTGCTGACCTATTTGACATCGCCTTTGACCACAGCCAGATCCTCGACTCGCACGGCACCGTGGGCAGTTCCGAGACCGCGTGGTCCTTTGTCCGCCAGGCTATCCTTGTCCTCTTTGACGCCGTCCACGAGCTCGAGGTCTCAGCCTCACTCTCCGGCCTCCTCACTCTCCTCCACACGGCGGTTCGACCGTACATCTCCCGCCTCACCCGGGTCTTTCAGTCGTCCATTCGTCCCACCATGACCCACGCTGCATCCACAGCCTCACTCACGCTCCACGACATGGCCAACTCGGGTGTGGCCACGGCCATCTCACCAACGATCGCCCTCCTCCGCGCCACCCTCGAAGAGCTCCCGCGCCTCGCCGATCTCCTCGACGAGGTCCACATCCGCTCCTCAGGCTTTTTCGACCAGTCGCCGCTTCTGGCACTCCTCACCGAGCCGGCCACCACGAACGCGCTCTTTGGCATTGTCCTGAACGCCTCGTCAACCCCACTGGTCACCCAAGCCTTTGGCCTTCTCACATCCTCGCGGACCCATGTGCTCTCGGTTCTCCGCGCTGCCGAGACCACCCAGATCATCGCCCTTCGCCAGAACCGCGAGTCGTTTACCCGCATCGCTAACCTCAAGTTTGAGCTTGAGGAGCTCCTCACCTCGACCTGGTGCCTCGACGTAGCCAACCGCGTCCTCTACCTCCTCGAGACCGCTGCCTCTATGCTTGATCCCAGCTCGCCGCTCTGCTTCTCCCACAAGCAGAATCTCATGCTCTTTCACCACTTTCGCATCCTCCCGCTCATCATGCAAGTCGTTGCCCTCACCCTCGCCTCACGAGCGCTCTCGGCCAAACTCCGCGCTGAAGCTGTCGAGTCAGCCGCGCGCTCGATGATTCTCGACGTCGACTCACCGCTTGTTCGTGACGCTCCCGTCCCCGTGCCACCACGAGACGACTCGTACTCGTACATCGAGACCTACGAGCTCGATACCGAGGCCAGCGAACAGCAGGCCTCATCTTCGGGCCTCACATCGCTCTCGTACTCGGAATACGATGACGATGACGGCGAGTCATACGAGTATGCTCCGCCCTCGCCGGGCGACAACTCGTCGGACTCGCTTCCCAGCGAGCTGGGCGACTCGATTGCCATGCGGGTCGAGCCGGACGACATAGCGTTGCCGGCGCCGCTTGCTGACCTCACACCGGCCTCGCTCGCTACCACACTCGATACTATCGAGACGCAGCTGCTCATCAGCGCGCTCGAGCTCATTCCGGCGTACTGCGCCGGCTCGCCTGCTGCACAGCAGCTGCTTGTCGGCTACGTTGAGCTCATTATGTCGGTTGTAGCCAAGGAGGCTCGCCCCGAGCTCGAGCACACCCGCGTCGCTGTCGACACTGCTGCCGTCGAGGCGCTCGCCTCTATCTTTCGCAACAACTTTGGGCTGGCGTCCGAGCTCGACGCCGTCGTCATCCAAGCCTTTGTCGCTTTTGCCGGTTCTGAAGGCACCCGCGCGCCGCGCTATCTCCGCTTTCTCCGCGAGCTCACCGTGGTGGTCACCGGCCAGAGTGTATCTGCGCTCAAACGAAACCAGATTCTCATTCTCAACACGCTGTCGATGATGCCGCCACAGAGCTGGCTTGTCGTTTATGATGGGCCGTGCGACATCGCGCCCGAACTCATTGACGATCCCGAGTCGTCGTTTCATTATCACGTCGAACTCATCCACCTTCTTGCAGCCTGTGCCCGCGGCAAGCACCACCTTGCCGAGGTCATCTGCCAGGCGCTCATCCGGCCCGAGCAGGTTGCTGCCGCCATCAGCGACGAGGACGCGCCGCCGCAGCTCCGGGCCGCCTACATGGCGCTTTTCCACCATGCGTTTGTAGACACAACCCAGGCTGCACCGCTTGATGCCACAGTGCTGGTTCTGTCGCATGTCCGCACCCTCATCGCGGCGTCGTGCACGCTTGACGCAACTAATCCACATTCGCTTGTCCACCGGACCATGGTTGCTGCTGTTTTTGGGACCGCGCTCCCGCTAGTCTACGCGTTCTTCATTCGAGCTTGGTCGTCGTCGCGTGACGTCGGCCCGGTCACCAAGCACCTCCCGCTCCTACGGACCCTGACCAAGCTCGCGCTGTTTGTCATCGACTTGGGCGACGAGTTTGAGAGCTCCGGTGCCGTGCGCGACCACATGGAGGAGCTTGTACTCGGTGTCCTCCGCGCCCTCGCGCGCAACGCCATCGTCGACGCCGGCTCGGCCCACGTCATCCACGACGCCGACCGAACCGACGCTGTGCTCGCGCGCAAACCCAATTGGTCCGCCCGCCTCTTCCAGGGCCTCGGCCTCTTTGACACCGATTCCCGCACCGCTGAGCTTGTCGAGCGCAACTTTGTCGAAGATGCTATCGCTGCTTATCGGAGCCAGCTGGTGGACTTGGTGGTGGGCATGACTGCGTCTGAGACCGAGTCGACGCCAGCCTGGCTCCGCCGCTTGCGCTGGCTCCGCCGTCGGCGTCGTGGCCGCAAGTTTCTCCCTACGCCTGTGCCGGCGCTCACCTCTGCCCCCGGCGCACAGCTCGCTGGCGAGCAGCTCGGCAATGTTGTTAACAGCGGCGTCGGCTCGCCTTCGCTTCACATGAAGCCGTGGACGCTCCTCATCGAGCTCCTGTGCTCCAAGACCAAGCGCCCGGTCATCCTTCGTCTCATCGAGCTGCTAGACGAGTTTGAGTCGCGCGGACTTGTCCTTGCCGCCCGCAACGTCGTCCAGGTTCTCATCGACGCCCTCGCCTTTGAGCGCCAGTCTGGCGAAGCGGCAGCCGAGCGTCCACTCCGCGACGCCTTTGTAGCCGCCGGCGTCATCCAAAAGGCGGTCCAGGTCCTCGGGACGGCGCACTCGCTCCTGGTGGAGCCCACGCTTTGGCTCGTCATCCGGCTGCTCGAAGGTGGGAAGCGGAGCGTGCAGGACGCATTTTACGACGTTGTCTCATCGCCGAGTACCTCGTTCTTCAAGGTCCTCTCGCGCATCATTCGCTCGGCGGCGCGAACGCTGGAGGAGGTTTCGTCGGCGTCCGACAGCGTGGCCGGTCTCGGTGCCGACAGCGGCGTTGGCGCCCACACCGCGACGCCGGTTCCCGCCGTCGACGCCGACCATGCCACTGGCATCCTCCACTCGATTGCCCAGAGTGACAAGGTCACCCGCAACGCAGCCATTGTCGGCGCTGCAGACCGGACATGCCCGCATCCACAGGCGGCCACGAGTGCGCACACGCTTGTGGGCCACGTGGTCGTCCTTGTCCAGTGGATGGTCGCCAATCAACACTCGGGCTTGCAGAATCTGCTCCGCGACCAACCGGGCGCGACACAGCCGACCAATGTGGTCCGCGATCTGATCTCGTTCTTCACCCTGTACGTCGCTTTTCTCCGGCCGAACAACCTGCTGCTCGCAACCCAGCTCCTGCACACTTTTGCCGAGCTCTGCATGGGCCCATGCTCGGGAAACCAGGAGATCATTTCGGTGACGAGGCTGTGCAAGGTCGTCAACGAGGTTCTCTCTACCGACACTCTCGCGCTCGTCATGTCGTCGTCGTTCTTTGCTTCGGCCGGCCGCGATGACGCCAACAACGCCGACGCACCCGACGACGGCACGGCGTCGGCGGTCCTCTCACTCCCCGACGTCGACGAGGCTCTTCTCCCTGTCTTTGCCGCCTCGCCTCACTTTCTGGCCGGCCTCGGCCAGATCCGCATGGCCATGGCTGCCGCTGCCGCCGACGAGCTTGCGTCAACAGCAAGCCCGGAGCATGGGATGACCCGCGCCGAAGCCGAAGCCGACGCCGAGCGCTACCACGCGGTCCAGACCGGCGTTGGTCGCGGTGGCGATGGCGAGCCTGGCGAGGCTGTCTTTGTGGACGTCGGCATCTCGGCCTTTCGCCCTCAGCCACAAAACGAGACTCTCGAGTCGTCACCGGTCACAGGTGAGAGGAGGGGCGAGGCCGGGCACGCTTCTGCTAGTGACGGCGACGGCTCTGGCTGCGCCGTGTGGAGTGCCGTCAAGCGGCTCCGGGCCGGTAAGGCCAGCAGCGGCGAGAGTCTGCGCGAGCTGGGTTTGGATCCGGACTCCAGGCGCCCACGCGATCCGCGGTACGCCCACCTCAACATTGCCGCAGGCGACAATGGCATGGCGCTGTTTGTCGTCGATGACGACGAGGAAAGAGGAGGCGGCGACGACGAAGACGACCAAGTTGACGAGTACAATGGCGATCGCCGCGGTACACCAGGGAGCACGCGGGTCAAGGAGGCGCCTGCTGAGCGTCGGCGGCGTCAGGCGACGCACGTGTACCTGGCGCAGTTGCGGCTTGCGGCGCTCGACACACTGCACGCACTGCTGGAGGGCTCGACTGTCCCGTCGTGGAACGTGGCTGTTCACCGGCGGATGATTGACCAGCTCAACTTGGTGCGGTTTGCCGACACAGCGGCAGCTACAGCAAAGCTCTCGCTCTCGTCGCGGAGGGTGTGGGGCGGCGGGCGACGGATCAAGCTGTGGGAGCGACTCAAGAGTCTGCGCGCCCGCGAGGGCTTCCAGGCCTACATCCTGCTCGCCAAGTTGATGGACTTGGAGCCGCAGTCGCGCCGGGTGCTGGAGGCGTTGCGGACGCACGACTTGAGCGCATACGTGGCGCTTCGCGGGCGGGTCGAGTACGTCAATGCCGACCGCGAGCTGGAACGCCTCTACTTTCGAATTCCGGATCACTGCTTCAACCTGACCAAGGAGCGGTGGGACCGGTTTGTGCTCGACATCGACCGCGACGACGAGAAGCTCAAGGACTTTATGGTCAAGTCAGAGGACCTCTCGTTTGAGCTGAAGACCAAGTCTGTCCAGCCGCTTGGCGCCATCGGCCGCTACATTCAGCAGCGCGACTTGTGGTGGAAAGACATGTCGTTCTGGACGGCGGTTGTCATCAACATCCTCATGATTGCGTTTTGGCGGACGAGCAGCGGCGGTGAGATATCGTACATTGCCGACAGCGTCCGTGGCGTTATTGTGGCACTGGGTGTGGTGACGCTCGTCACCTCGGGCCTCACCACGATGGCATACCTGATGTCGCTCGGCCCGCTCATCTTGTACAAGTCGTGGAAAAGTGAGGAGCCCGTGGTCGAGTTTGACGAGCGCGAGCGGAACGTGTGGTTTGTGCTCAAGTCGACGCTCTTCCTCCTCCGCAACTCACGGTGTCTCTTCTACGTAGCGTACTTTGTGACGGCGCTCCTTGGCCTTGCCGTCTCGCCGTTCTACTTTTCATTCCACTTGCTCGACATTGTCAACCGGTCTGCGACGCTGCGGTCGGTCATCCAGTCTGTGACGCTTAATCTGGCCTCCATTGTCTTTACAGGCGTGCTCGGCATGCTCGGCATCTACTACTACGCCATTGTGGGCTTCAACCTCATGCGCGACGACTTTGTGCTCGAGGGCTCACGGTATTGCGACTCGCTCGCGCTGTGCATTGTGACGGTGGCGAACCTCGGGCTGCGAGCCTCAGGCGGCATCGGCGACAACATGGTGCTGCAGCCGTACTCGGTTGACCACTCGCTTGCACGCGTTGCCTTTGACCTCTCGTACTTTTTCTTTCTCGTCGTCATCTTTCTCTCCATCTTCCTCGGCATCATCACCGATACCTTTGGAGAGCTCCGCGCCCGCCGCAACTATCTGCAGAACGAGATCCGCAACCACTGCTTTGTGTGCGGGGTTGACCGTTCGCGGCTGATGCGCGACGGCAACGGGTTCTCCACACACGTCTCGTCGGAACACAACATTCGCCACTACATGTTCCTCATCTCCTACCTCCGCGAGCTCCCGCTGCTGCAGCAGAGTGGCGGCGAGGCGTACATAGCCCGCAAGATCCTGGTCTACGACACCTCGTTCTTCCCCGAGCAGCGCGCCATGTGCTTTGAGCGCTCTGCGCAGCGCGACACTGTCGAGCTGTGGGAGCTGGCCGCCAAGGTCGACGACGTCCGCAACGACCACGACCGCATGCTCGCCGAGGTCCGCCGCTACTGTGCCGCCCTTGAGCAGGCCCAGCTCCGCGCCAAACGTGAGCAAGACACCGACCTGGAGATCCTCCTGGCCGAGCTCCGTGTCCAGCAGGACATGACGAGAGTTCTTGCTACACGCATCGAGTCGGCGCTGGCAGGAAGCGAGTAAACGCACGGCTACAGCCGCGGGAGCTCGATCTTGCGCACAGGCGCCGGCCGTGCCATGACCGAGTAGCCGAGATGGTCATGCGGCGCTGTCTGCGGGACCGGAGCTACTCCTGCGCCTTCCGCGCCCACCACTCTCCGGGCACTTGACACCGCCGCCAGGGTGCTTGTCGCTCGGTTACGCGACGACGCGCCTGCTGCCGACGAGCCAGTGACAAAGTGGATACCACCGGCGCGACGGCGGTTGAAAATTCCAGTCATCCGTGCTGGGGCATTGACTGAGTCGGCAAGCAGCTGCGAGCGCCGCGAGGCCAGGCCTGGGGCCTGGGCGAGTGCGGTCGAGCGAGCGGCAGCATAGGCGTCGAGCTGGATGTGGTCGAGGAGGGCGATGACGTAGTTGACCGAGCGAATGGACTCGAGCGCGAGCTGCGACTTGGAAGACGCATTCTGCCAGCCGGCTGTCATGGCGTGCATTGAGCGCGCGGCGGCGGTGTCGCGATGAACGAGGTCTGCATCACCGCTACCAGCAGCGCCCGAGTACTCGCGCCCGAGCAACACTGCCGCTTGGGCGATTTCGTCGGTGCAGAGCGCCTCGAGCTTGCCAAGAACGACGAGGAGCGACTCGCGGAGCTGAGCCTGGAGGGAGGCAAGATACGGCCGAGCCGGGGCGTGGACCATGTCGTCAACGAGTGCGGCGTCGGCGGCAGCCGAGCTGGGCGCGCCGCGGAGGAGCCGGGTGAGGGCAAAGCGCGAGACTTTGCTCTGGACGTCGAGCGCGACGGCAAAGGTAACGACGACGACGGCAGCAACGAGGACGGCAATGGCGATGATCAAAAGCGCCGACTCTTCCGACGACGTCATCGAATCCGAGTGGAAGACCAGACCAATGGCAAGGAGGAAGAACGAGAGCGCCATACCGATCGACTCGAGGCCGTCAAGCACTTGCGAGACAAACGGGTGGGCAAAGACTTGAAGGAGGCCAAAGCCGAGAAAAACAATGATGCCCGCCGCAGCCTTCCACACTGGATCGACCGGGAGGATACCGGTGACGGCAGTGACCGCCAGCTTGCGAAGAAAGATGACGAGCTCCCACCAAAAGTAGTCGCGGTCGTACTTGTAGCACATGACACCGTAGCGCCTGCGGAAGGCCTCCGAGTCCAACTCGAGGGCATGCCTCCGCATTGTGTGCCAGTACCAGATCGGGACACCCGCGATCGAGACAACTAGCCCAGCACAAGCAACAAACAGCGCGCGCGCCCACTCGCCTCCGCCATCGTAGCAGGTAATGTTCTCGTAGCGAGAGAGGACATACCGCCCGTCGCTCTTGAGCTCACATTGAAGCACGTCGGTGAGCGCCGCCACTTGAGAGATGTAGAGAATGTTGACAAGGACGGTAAAGGTGGAGATGAAGCCGTCGACGCCGCAAGCAACCAAGACGTCTCCTCGCGAGAGCGACGGAGGAGATGGTGGCGACAGCATCGACTTTGACGCTGGCTCTGGCTCTGGCTCGGGCTCTGGCTCCGACTCCTCCATCTGCTCCTCGGCCTGACCAAGCTCGACAAGCTCGGTATCAGCGATGGGTGGCCCATGGGCATTTGCCTGCAACGGGCTATATGCCGGTGCAACTGCGGACTGTGGATGAGCTCCAGGCGAGCGGGTGCAGCACCGGGTCCGGATGGCAGCGACAATGGCGAAAGCGACGAGCCAGATGACGGCGAAAAAGGCCGGGAGCGCGACCTTGAGTGCAGTGATGCCAACAAGGCCGAGGCCATCAATGGTGCACGGAAGGGAAATGAGGTCGAGGTTAAGCGAAAAGGCTGAAAAGACGGTGAACATGGCGGTGAGCGTCGACGGCCACTCTAGGTCTACGTTGGCAAAGACGCCCATGATCTGGACAAAGTTGGCGGCGACTGAAAGCGAGGCAAACCAGCGCTTGAGAAAGACAAGGAGCAGAATGAGGGCAAAGAGGCCGACCGACCACAGCGCCCTGCTACCTGCGGACGGACAGATCTCGCACGCGCCTCGGTATTGGTAGTAGCCGGGAAGACAGAGCGCGCAGAGCTCGCCGGTTGCACCGGCCTTGCAGCTACCGTCTCCGGCGCAGTTGCGACAGGTGACAAATGTGCCTGGCGAGGCAACCGATGCCGCAAAGCCAGGCAGTGCCACCGGGTAGGGCGACGAGTTGTTGCAGCTGGCGAATGGCGGGCAGGCACCGCAGACTGGGACATCGCGTTCGACAGCCCGCTTCGGGCCACACACATCGCTGTTCCCATCCCAGCTTGCGGGCGAACCGACGAGCAGCAGTGAGGCCCCACAGTTTCCGCTCCACGGCTCGCCTCGGAACGAAAGATTGGCGAGGAGCGGGAGGCCAGCAACCGTGCCGGCATCTGCGGGGTTGCTCGTCAGTAACGGGAGCAGGTCAACTTGAGCCGGAGCCGACAGCAGGAGTGCAGAGCCGGGTCGGACAATCGCCGTCGCCGCCGGCGGTGATGAGACAAGACGCAGCAACGCGCCGCTGCTGGGAACATTGCCGACCATCTCGTAGCCCGAGATCCAGACTTCGGCGGCGGCAGTAGCGTTGCCGACGGCGATGACAACCGGTCGCGGCGGGCCAAACATGCCCCAGACCGGCGACGCTAGCGCGTTTGACGCCCGTGTACTTCCGCTCGCCCTGCCGATGACGGGCGGCATGTACTCGCCGTCCAGCGGCGCGGCGTAGACCAACGGCGCGGCGTCGAGGGCACGGACTAGCGTCAACTCGACCGACAAGTCGTAAGGCGCGGCGGAAGAGGCCGCCAGCGCTGAGCTGTTGAAGAGCGCTAGACCAGAGATCCAGCCGTCAAAGAACGCGTCGGTGGTACCCGAGCTCGGCGCGTCGAGACAGCCCAGCGAGAGTGAGAAGGCACCCGGCCCGATCGCCCACGAGAAGCCCGCGTCCGCAGTGACAGCGGCATCGCCTTTGTCGTCGACTATCAGACTCAGTGTCTGGCTAGCCGGCGACCAGCTGATGACAACATGGATCCAACGGAAAGGACCAGCAGCGAGCGCGGCCTTGGAGGCGACGAGGGTGCAGCTCGAGCCGGAGAACGGCAGCGGGTCGGCGGCTCCGCCGCGCCAGCTCTCCACAGCAGGACATGCTCCAATGGCGGCGAGCAGCCTGCCCGATGGAGTGAGGCCCACGACGAAGCCGGCCGGAGTGTGGGCGGCGGCCACGGCGAGGCGGTCACTGGGAAGGGCGCGCGGGCGGAGCCAGAGTTCGACGAGGGCATTGCTGAGCGGGTCGACGAGGGTCGGGACAGCCGGAACAACGTCAAGAGCGAGGCAAGACATGTTCGCCGCCACAAACGAGGCGCCCGGCGCCCATCCGCCGGCCACGGACTCTGCCACGGCGTAGGGAAGGTGTCCTGAAGCGAGAGCGAGGGCGAGGGCGAGCAGGACGAGGGCGGGATGTGCCCCATGGCGGGGCATAGGTGCGGCAGGGGGGTTGGGGGGGGTTGGGGGGGGGGTGGGGGGGTTGGGGGGTTGGGGAGAGGCGACGTCTGCCCGGGTGAAAGGTGGAGGGGGACGGCGCCAGAGGGAGAAGCGAACGAAACGAACGAACGAGTGAACGAATGTGCGGATGAACGGGCGAGCACATTAGTAGTCATTGGCCAAATGGCGGGAGACACTGGCAGGCAGAGGGCGGGCAGAGGGCAGGCAGCGGGCGGGCAGGCAGAGGGCGGGCAGGCAGCGGGCGGGCAGGCAGAGGGCGGGCAGGCAGAGGGCGGGCAGACGGGGTTTGCACCTCACCCCCACCTCCACCACCCTCGCCCACCCCACGACTCCCCAAGACCCCACTTTATGTCCGCATACCCGTTCAACACGACCGGGGGTGCCTTTGCGCCGCCTCCGGTCTCGGCGGCAAACACGTCGCCGGCACCGAGCTCGCCGTCACCGCGGGTGTCACGGACGACGTCCAAGGCATCGATGCGCTCGCTGCGCGGACGGCGGTCGGTAGGCTCGTCGAACTTTGCCTCGCTGATTCCGCGTCGACGGTCATCGCGGATGGGCATGTCTCTGGCTGGGCGCCCGGGTAAGACGGCGGCGGCGGCTGCAGCTGCACGGGTTCGCGCACCGGCCAAGGCCACGGTTGCGGCGGGCCTGGGCGGCGCCGGGACGGCATTTCTGCGGTCCGAGGCACGGGAGGCACGCCAGCGCAAGGACGCCGAGGCTGCTAGGCTGGCGGCGGCCGAAGCGGCCGGCGATATGCCTGCGGCGCCTGCCAGCTCGAGCGAGGCCTCGCGGTACGTGGCCGATGTCGACGCCGTCACGCCGATCATCCGCGGCGAGTACTCGACGGCGCAGCGGGCAGCGGCGGTGCGGAAGCTGGCCCATCTTGCTTGGCTCGGCTCCGAGTACACCCAGGTCTACGTCGGGCGCATCGGGCTCATCGGAACCATGGCGACCATTCTGGCATCGGGCGACGATGTAGAGCTCAAGCTCGCCACCCTACAGGCCCTCTCGGTTGTTGTCCGCGGCTGCCGCCCGAATCAGGAGCGAGCCCGCAAGGTCCGCATCATCCCAGCCGTCACAAAGTATCTTGACCACTCCAGAAAGGCCGTGCGCCAGTGGGCGGCGCACGCACTCTTTTTTGTACTCCACAACAACATGGCCAACCACACCGTGGCGCTGCGGACCCACTCACTCAAGCGCCTGCTCGAGCTTGCTGCTGCCGAGCCGTGGGAGGCCTTCAAGCACAACGAGGCGCAGCAGATCCTGTACATGCTCGGCCTCGCCGACGTCGAGCCGCAGACCGGCTCGTCGTCGCGCTCGCGCCGCGCCGCGCCGCGCGACACCGACTCTTCGACCTCACTGAATGCCTCGGCCTCACCGCGCCCTCCGACCTCACCGCGGTCGCCGGTCTCGCCGCGGTCGCCAGTCTCACCGCTCTCGCCGCGATCGCCGCGGTCGCCGCGGTCGCCCGGCCACTCTGGTCATCGCCCCATTCATAGCGTGCGCGGGCCTCGCGGTGGGCGAGCCACGCAGCTGCAGCGCAAGCGGTCGCTGCTATCGATGTGAGACGGCATTTTAGTGTGAAGGCGCGGCTGCGGCCGGCGCAAGCGCGGCGGCAAGCTGCTTGAACAGCTGGCGCTGGTCGGCAGTGAGGCTCGAGTACTCGGCGCGGAAGTGGTACATGGGCGACGACGACTCAAAGTCCTGGGCAAGCTCTGTGGCCCGGGCGACGATCGAGTCTGCGACGCCGGCGAGCTTGGCCACGTTCATGCCGTACGACTTGGAGGCGACGCCTGGGGCAAGCTTGTAGAGGAAGGTCACCTCGTCAGCCTCCTCGTCGACGTAGCAAGACATGTGCTGGAGCGAGACACCCGGCGTGGTCGAGAACTCTTCGCAGAGCGCGTGGTAGTGGGTCGAGAAAAGGGTGCGAGCGCCGAGCCCGTTGAGAAGCTCCGAGAGGACGGCGTAGGCGATCGAGTAACCGTCAAAGGTCGAGGTACCACGGCCAAGCTCGTCCATGATGACCAGCGACGACGCGGTGCCGTGCTGGAGGACGGCGGCGGTCTCGAGGAGCTCGACCATAAACGTGGATTGGCCACGCATGATGTGGTCGTGGGCGCCGATGCGGGTAAAGATGCGGTCGACTGGGGCGAGCGTCATGACTGCGGCCGGGACGTACGCGCCCATCTGGGCGAGAATGACGGCGACGGCGACAGAGCGGAGGAGCGTCGACTTTCCGCCCATGTTGGGCCCGGTGAGCAGGATGACGCCCGGACCGTCGCCGCCGACGACCACGTCGTTGGGAATGAATGACGAGGCGATCGAGACCTTGACGCACGGATGGCGGAGCTCCGAGATGGCGAGCTGCGGGACGGACGAGGCACCGGCCTCGTGCGCCGTGACAGTCGGCAGGCACTTGGGCTCAGCGAGGGCGCGCGAAAAGGTCTTGAGCGAGATGAGGACGTCGAGGGCAGCGAGCTTGTCGATGGCGCGGCGCCAGACGGCCTGCCGGGCCTCAAATTCTCCCAGAAAGTGCTTGAGGAGCACCACCTGCGTCTGCGCAAACCGCTCGAGCACCTCGTCACGATGCGGGAGGAGCTCAGCGAGGAACGGCGACCAGTACCGCTTGACAGCCTTGGTCTGGGAGCGGAGGATCCAGTTGGCCGGGACGGTTGTCGACGCCGGGACCTGGATCTGGTATGCTTCCTTGTTGAGGTGCTTGTACTCGACTCCTGAGACGCGGAGCGAGGAGCGGACTTCCTTCAGGTGGCTCTCCAGCTTGCTGTTGATGCTCTTGATCTCAGCGTTGAGTTCGTCAAAGAGCGCGTGGACGCCCGGGCGCGGCGAGATCGAGCCCTGCTGTAGCGCCGCCTCCCAGTCAAAGGCGGCCCGAAAGTGGGCAACGCCCGCGGCGAGGTCGTCGACGCCGACGCTGAGGAGCGAGGTGAGGAGCGGCGAGCTCGCCGCCGCGGCCGCGCCCGGTGTCCCTGGCGTCCCAAACGTCGACGCCATAAAGGTCGAGACCGTCTCAAAAGCCTGCAGCAGCGCCACAAACTTGTGCATTGGACACGCCTTGGCCGCCGCCCGCGACGTCAGCCGCTCCAGATCCGGCAGGCTTTTGAGCATTCCCTCGAGCGGCGCCGCAAGGTGCTCATCGGTAGAGCGGAGGACCTCGACCGCCGCCTGCCGCGCCCGGATGTCCTCCACCTTGACCAGCGGATACGCCAGCTCGTGGCGGAAGCGCCGGCGGCCAAACGGCGTGACACAGAACTGGGTGAGCTCGAGCAGCGTGCCGCGCGTCGAGCCGTCGTGCGAGTTGTTGAGCACGTTGAGGTTGTACAGCGTCTGCCCGTCCATGACCAGCGACGTCGACGACTTGACAATGTCGTACTCGGCAAACACGCCCTGTGCCACCAGTGACGGGCCGAGCTTGAGCTTGTCGAGGTAGTAAAAGAGCGCGCCGAGCGCCGAGCTCCGCTCGGCTGGCCCGTCCAGGAGTGCGGTCAGCTCGGCAGGCACCTCCTCGACGGACGCGGCGAGCCAGCTCGCCCGCGCGCTCGCGTCCCAAAACTGCCGCTCCGCATCGAGGAGGACAAGCGCGTCGCGCCGCGGGACGTGAACCTTGACCAGCGCCGCGACGGGCTTGGACGTCTCGCCGCGGGCAAGGAGTACCTCCTTAGGCTTGATCTGCACAAGCAGCGTCTCCAGCAGAGTCAGATGCTCGTTGTCGTTGAGTTGGGTGGCGTAGAACTTGCCGGTGGCGCAGTCGACAAAGGCGACGCCGAGAGTGTGGCTTGTCGCAGGCGCGCCGCTACCGCTGCCGTGTGCTGGCACCTCGGCAATCGCCAAGAGGTACGCCGCGTCCGGCGACGCCAGAAGCTCGTCCTCGACAAGCGTGCCAGCAGTAAGGACTTGAGTCAGCTTGCGGCGAATGAGGTTGGCGCCCTTGGCCTTGGAGCCATCCTTGCGGGCGAGGTCCGATCCAATCTTGGTTTCGACCTGGTCGACCCGGGCGACCTTGTACCCGAGCGCCACCAGCTGGGCCGCCCACTTCTGAAAGTGCATCTCGGGCACGCCGCACATTCGCATGTTGACCCGCTCGGTGAGCTTGAGATCAAGAACCTGATGTGTGATGTCGGCATCGCCCTCAAAGACCTCGTAGAACTTGCCCTTTTTGAAAAAGACCACCGTGTCAAAGTAGTCCTTCTTGATGGCCCAGTACTGTTTCTCAAACCCAGTAAAGAGTTTGGACTTGGCATCAAAGTACTTGGGCGGGATGTAGAGCGTCGACGGATCGTAGTCGGGGTGTGACGGCCGCCGCTGTGCGCCATCGCGGACGTCAACAAGGAACGCGAACCGGTCCTTATTGGCCGCCGCAAACTTGGTCTTGCGCTCCGCGCGCTTGGCTGCCTTGGTCGAGAGCCCACCCCACGCCGACGACGACGCAGACGACGACTTGCGGACCGGCACCACATCCATCGGCACCATCGCGCTCAGTGGAAGATCGTCCGAGGAAGCCTCATCAACTGGCTCGGGGCTGGCTGCCGCCGCCTCCTCGAGCCCCTTGAGCGTCTCGGGATCCGCGAGCATGGCCGCGTCGGCTTCGGCTTCCTCCTCCTCGTCGGCCGCCAGCTCGGCTGGATCGAGCACAAACTCCTCATCGTCCGAGTCGTCCGAGTCCGAGTCCACCACCCGCCGCCGCCGAGCCTTCTTACTCGCCGGATGCTTGGTTGCCACCGAGTCCGAGAACGAGCCGTCATCACTCGCGCCACTGTCGTCGTCGTCGTCGTCGTCGTCGATACGGTACGAAACGATCTTGCGCTTGCGCGAAGGCCGCCCGGCGACCACTCGCCCAGTTCCGCCGCTTCCGGTGCTCGACGCCACCATTGTCAGAGGACGGTCGTCGTCCGAGCTCGCCTCGCTTTGCGGCCCTCTGCTCCTCCCTGCCACCGCCTTGAGTGGCGAGGGCGTGGCCAGTCCCCCGGGTGCGGCTGCTGCCGCCGCTGCATGCGCAGGCGTAGAATCATGGGCTACCGCCATGGCCACCACTTTGGCCTCTGCCCGCACCGGCGACAGCGCCTTGGCCTGCTCAGCAGCGGCACTCGTGTCCTTTGCCTCGGCCTCTCTCGGCGGGGCCTGAGCCGCTGCCGGCGGTGTCCCGAAAAACGACAGCAGCGAGCTCTGCATGACCTTGGTCGTCGAGCGGTGTGGTGTGGCCGTCGCCCTGTTTGTGGTCGTCCAGCTCGCGGGGAATGAATGAATAGCGGCGAATCCGAATGATCGAATGACATGATGAAGGGGGAAAAGGGAGGAGGGCAGTGGGCGAAAAAAGGTCGTGGTTTTCGCCTCTCCCTCCACCTCTACAAGGCCGTCACCCCGGGGCCAATCATACGGTAGCACCCTTCTCCCGCACACCTGTTGCAGCGATTGTCTCGCCTGGTTGTGCTGGGAGAGAGCCATGTTGAGGAGGACAAAGAAGCGACGGCGGACTGGGCGCGGTGGCGGGCTTGGTGGAGGAGGTGGTGGCGGTGGTAGCGGTGGTGACGACGACGGGCCGGGCGCTCGGAAGCGAGCGCGCGGGCTGCTAGTCGACCTCTCTGCCGGCGACCCAGAGGTCGGCGGCGAGCCGCTGCTGCCGCTGCCGTCGTTGGCGGTGGCCGATGATGGCCCGGCCGGCGTGGCAGAGGCGGCAGCGGTGCTGGCGAGGTACGACCCGTCTGCTGCGCGGGTTCCTGCCGCGATCGCGGCTGCGTCTCATGAGAGCCTGCCGCAGGAGCCCGCGGCTATGGCGAGTGTGCTGGCTGTGGCATTTGAGGCTGGTGCTGCTGCGCTGAGCGGGCAGGCCGCGGTGCTGCTTGACACGTGGGCTGCGGCGCTCCCCGCATCGGCGCTGGTCGCAGTCTTGGCCCACACGCCCGGAACCGCGCCACAAGCGCTCATCGGCGGCCTTTACGAGATCATTCTCGATCCAAGCCTCCCGCGGCACGACGATCGGGTGGCGGCAGCGCAAAGTGCAAGTGAGGTGCTCGACATACCTGGCCTCGCGGCCTGGATTGTGGCAAGCAAGCACCGCAAGCATTTGTTGCGGCTGATGTCGTCGACGCGTCGTGAGGCTCTCCTTACCTATGTCCTTTCCCCCCTCGCGACCGATCGCTGGTCGGATAGACTCGAACGCCACTTTGAGCTCGACGCCGTTGTCGGCGCCTGCCTCGACGACTCGGTGCTCGCATCCGAGCTGTACGCGATGACCACAGCAGCGGCCAAGCGCGAGCCGCGGGCCTGGCTCCCAGCCCGGGCCTGGATCCTCGACCGGTGGCTGGAGCGCTCGTTGGCCACCGGAGGTGAGGTGTGGGACACGCTGCTGGCAGACGACAGCGCCAAGGGTCCTGGCTCTGCGCAAGCTGCTCTTGCCCAACATGCGTCAGCCCGCTTGGCGACGCCCGGTGATGCAGGCTCTGCTCTGGATCTGGCACTCAACACAGGCGTGCTGGCCAAGCTGAGCGGCCGCCAGCTTGCGGCGTTGGTAGCAGTGCTAGGCGCTACGCCGCAAGCAGTGAGCACGGCGGTGCGAGCGACGACGATCCGCTCGGTCCTTCACCGCATGCTGAGCACGTCTGGTCCAAAGGCGGCAGGCACCGACCTTGCCTCCGCCTGCTCGCCCCGTGTGATGACCAACTTGCGGCAGGTCCTCCTCGAGCGAGGCTGGGACCCGCGCGATGACGGGCAACTTCTCTTTCTACCGGGCCTCTGCGATACTCCGGGCCTGGACCGGATCGCGGAAGACCACAGACTCTCAGTCTCGCTGTTCTGGGACGGCTGCCGGGACCTATGGGGAAGGAGTCCGCATGCCACGGCCTCCGCCGCTGCTGCCTTGCTCGCTTCGGCTATTGCCAGCGCGCTGTGGGACAAGGCTGTGCGTGATCAGCTGATGCGGCCAGCAGCGGGGCTGAGCTCATCGGCCCATTACGCAGCCGTGCTAGCCGGCGGTGTTCGAATGCTCGAGGCGTGCTTGCGGGCGAGCGGCACAGGCGAGCCTGCGCTTCTCGGCTCGACATTGGACGGCGGGTTGTGGCTCGGCTCGTTTGCCGCCGACTGGACCCACGACGCTTATCCTGCACGGACGGTTCCGCTTGTTGCGCTCCTCAGCGATGTCTTTCTGGTCATGGTCGAGCTCGGAGCCTCGGTCTTTGACCCGAGCAACGAGCTTGGAGCCGAGCTTGTTCCGGCGAACATCGTAGCTCTCATGTGGTGGATGGCGCCGCAGCTCCAGACCCAGGCAGCCGAGCTCTGTGTTTTGCGGACCCAGACAATTGTTGCTGAGACCGTCGCTCGCACGCTGCAGCTGGCTGAGGCGGCCAAGCCGTCGGCATTTATGCAGAGCAAGGGACTGACACCTTTGGCCTTGGCGCACCTGCAGGGCTTGGCGAAAGTTATCAACGCAGGCGCGGCGCCGCAACGCGGCACAGGCGGTCTACGTGAGCGGCTGCGTGGCGGCGAGAGCGAGAGCGAGCTTTGGCCGCTGGCTACCGCACTGGTCGGCCTCTCGTCGTCGCCGTACATGGGCAACGGCAGTGATGTTGTCGCTGCGCTCGCGCGCGCATTCGATCCGTTTCCAGTTGCGCTCCTTGCCCCTTCCACTTTGCAGCCAGCCTTTCTTGCCTTTGGAGAGCGCCTGATGCGTCACGTCCGCTCTCTGGCGCTGAGCAAGACGGGCGACATCGGGCGATTGCGCCTGATCTGGCTCTACAAGGCGCTGCACTTGTTGGCAACGCTCGCCGAGGCCGATTCGGCGAGGCGGGCGCTGCTCATCCACCACGAGCCGATCTCGTGCCTTATCCATCTGCTCGGCCTTCGTGATCGCGGCGTCGAAGAGGTGGCGCGGACGCGGGCCAACGCCTCCAACTGCCTCAAGCAGTACGTGGCGCGTGGGCTCGGCGACCCAAGCGCCGCTGCGCGCAACGTGCTCCTCTCGCTTGCTCAGCTCCACTCACTCGTTCCGATGCTCCTCTCGACGGGTCTCCGGCATATCGTGAGCGACGGCAACGTCGATCCACTCGCCGAGGATGCGCTGAGCATGCTCCGGCTGGCGGTCCGGACCTCGCAGCTCAAGGCGACACTCGTCCTTCCGGCCACAGGCCTCATCGCCCACCTGCGCCGGTTGCTATTTCAGCCCGCCGACGCCAAGATTGTTCTCGGCTCTCCACCGGCCGCCGCCGCTGTTTTCGAACTCTTTGACGCCGCCGTCGCCGCGCCCGCCCTCTCATCGGGCATTGCCGAAGCCGCCCTCCACCGGCTGCTCATCGATGGCCTCCTCGCTGCGCACCGCGCCGCTGACGCCGTTGCGGTTGTCCGCAAACTTCCGGCTCCGCTCGCCCTCGACGCCTTTACCAACTCGCAGCTGCTCAAAACCCGGATGGTCACGCCGCGCGACGCCGTGGCAAGCCAGCTTGGTGCTTGCGCGGCGAGCCTTGGACTCTAGCGCTGACCCCCCTTCCCCCCTCCCTTTCCTCAATTCCAATGACACCGCACTGTCACCTGTGGCAGCAGGGGAGCGACAGGCAACAAAGGCGAGAGCCAGCCATGCACGGCCGTTCTGCAAGGGCAGGACATGGCCGGGCGGGAACAGGGCGGGTGGTGGCTGGGCAGACCCTGGTCCTTTCCCGCGAGAGGCGTCAGACGGTGAAGGCCAAGCAGAGGCCGCAAGCCCACCGTGCCCAACCGCCGCCAACCAAGGCGAGGTCCAAGCCGCCGGGAAGGGGTTCGCGGACCAGGGCGCGGACGCTCGCCGTCCTCCCACCGCTGCCAGTGGGACAGGCAAGCGGACGGCGAGGAGGCACCAGTGCGCTGCGGCCGCGGGTCGGCGTGCTTAGCCGCCACCGGGCACAGGTGGCGGCGCGGACGGCGCGGGCGGCGGCCGAGGGTGTGACGCGGGTCTTTGGCGACTCGCACGACACCTTTGCCGCCGGCACAGGCGCAGCCCGGATTCGGGCCACGCTCCGCGTGGCGGCGGCTCGACCGCAACCACCGGCCGCCGCCAGCGGCGACGGTGACGGCAGCGGCGTGCGGATCTCGGTCGATCGCGTCATCGACGCGCTGCGGATCCGTGGCGAAGTGGCGTCAATGGCAGCGGCGACCAGCGGCGAGGCGACAGGCGGCTCGCTGGAGGAGCTGCAGGAACTGGTGGATGCCGGCCTCGCACTGAAGCCGTGCGTACCGGAGAGCCTCGTCGAGGTCGAGACCTTTCCGGTCCGCCCGCCGCGCGTCTGGGTCCAGGTGAGCGGCAAGCAGCGGGCGCGATACACCGAGACACCGGAGCACCAGGCCGACGGCTCGGTCAACTGGATCCGGACGTTGTATCCGCCGGCAGTTGTGACCACCGACGACGAGTTTGCACGGACTGCTGAGCTGGTGGGCAGGCTCGCGGCCCAGACCCGCGATCCGACGGTGGTCGCGGTCGGGCACACAGGTCGCGAGGGCCTTCTTGAGCGAGAGGCCGAGTTTGTGAGCACCTTGTTGGCTGCCACGCAGATGGGGCTGACCGAGGTAGCGCGTGGCAGCGCGGTGCGCGCTGCCGCACTCCGAGAGCCGCCGCGGCTCCTGGAAGCCTGCATCGCCCTTCTGCGTGCACTCGAGATTTTGCATGGCCTGACGCCAGCCGCGCCGGGTCCAATGGAGCACGAAGAGGCTGCGCGGGTGGCTGCCGTCCGCGACGCCATTGAGGCGCGGCGCGAACTCGACGCGCTCATCACCGCCGAGAAGAACGAGACTCGTGAGCTGCTGGAGGCGATCGAGAAGGCACGGACCGAGGCTAGCGCACTGGAGCGTGAGCTCGAGGCTACGCGCAAGCGGACAGCGGAGGCCCGAGCGCGGGCAGAAGCGCCGCTAGCCCGGAGCGGCGAGCAAGAGTCGTTCTCACACGAGCGAGTGCTGGTGGTCGGCGAGCTCCAGAGCGTGGAAAAGGCCAATGTGTTGCTCGAGGCTGAGCTCGTTGCGCTCAAGAGCCGGGCCGCTGATGTGGTGCAGGCCAAGGTTGTCAGCACAATGCAGGCGCACAAGGTTGAGGCAGAGATCAAAGAGGCGTCGGCCGAGCAGCTCGCCATCCTCCTCGCGCTCGCCCACCGCAAGTCGGAGCTCGAGGCCACTGACGCGCAGCTTGCGGCCCTCAATGAGTCGATCGCGTGTGCCGAGGCCGAGAAGGAAGTCCAGCGGATCCACGAGAACAAGGCCAAGTTTGTGGCGTCGATGAAGGGGCGCAGCCCGGCAGCACGGCCCGCCCTCCGCCGCGGTCCGAGCACCGGCGGACATCACCGGCGGGCCTCAGTCACTCCCTCCTCGCTCCTCACCACCAGCTCGACCTCGATGTTGTAAAGGTAATGGCCTTGCGCAGTCGTGCCTGTGGGCCGAGGTGCGATAGCCGAAAAGGAGCAAATGTCGCGTTGGCGAAGCGGCAGCGTCCGACGATTGAGTCACGCTTGCCGCGCGTCACTGGCGCAAGGGGCGAGGGAGCGGGAGAGAGGAAGCCACTCGACTCTGGCTCTAGCGGCATTGCAGCCATGCTTGGGCGGGTGCGACTTGTTGTGGGACGGCATGCAGCAGGAGCAGGCGGTGGCGCGTGGGCGCAGAAGTGGGTGCTGGCGCAGGCGCGGGCGATGCATGCGACGGCGGCGGTAGAGGGCTGGCGCGACATGGACGGCGGGCGGGCGAGGGCTGCGCGGGCCAAGACGGCGGCGGTGCGGGCGATGGTGGCCGGGACGGGCCCGAATGCAGTCAGTCGCGATGCGGCATGGGAGGAGGCGAAGCGGACCGGGACGTGGGCCGAGACTGCCGAGGGCAGGGCCCGGCGGCGAGCCGAGCAGACCTCGAGCATCCAGGTCTTTGACGCCTTCTCGGTCGCCTTTGTCACCCTTGTGGGCGCCGTCTGTGCCCTCACCTGGGTCATTGCCCCCATCCTTGTCCCGGACGATGCCCTCGACGGCGCAGATCCCGATGGGCGCTTTGCCAAGGTCAACGTGTCCGGCGCAGACGGCTCGCGCTGGTGGGAGATCCTCAATGTCTCCGGCCGTCCGCGCGGTGGCACGAGCGAGGCCGATGGCGAGAAGGAGAGCGAGCTCGACTCGGACTCGGGCTCGGGCTCGGCTGCTGCTACCGATCCCAGTGCAGCGTGAGTGCAAGCGGTGTACATGTGATGTGGTTTCATGCGTTTACGGGGGAAGGGGGCCTACTCGCGGGCGCGCAGCTTCTCCTCCTGGGCTCTGCTCTTCGCACGCTTTGCCTCTTCGACAGCATCGCGATCGACCTTCTTCTTCCGCAACTTCGCGGCTCTGCGGTTGAGCTTCGCCACCCGGTCGGAGAGGGCGAGCATGTCCTTACGTAGCGAGACGGCGCGGGTATGGTACATGGGCAGATGCGACATCTGGACGGGAAATGGAGGGAGGGGGATGTGAGCGGAGCGGAGAAGTGGGAGGGGGGGGAGGGGGGAGGGGGGGGGGGTAGGAGGCGGTGGGCGGAGGGTGGCGGAGGGACGGACGGAGGGACCGGGAGGGCC